TGCAGCGTCGGGGCCCTCAGCGCGGAAGGTCCCCACATCCCCGACAGTCTCCCTGAGCGGCCTGCATGCAGGAGAGAGACAGACACACAGGGATCGCCGGTGGCGGGGATCTGGGCCAGAGCTGGGGGACTAGGCGGGGACAGGGCCTGTTGAGGGCCACCGAGAGGGCCACCGAAGCTGAGGGGCGAAGAGCTTGAGAACACAGGCGCCTCCTCGTTCTCTCCAGGTTTCCGCGGTGGCGCCGAGGGTCGAGGCCGCTGACACCGCCCCGCAGGTGTGAGGCACCTGTTGACAGCATCTGGAGCTCGCTCCCTCCAGAAGGAGACCCGGCCTCGGGGCCCGGAGGGGACCCCGCCGCGAAGCTGTGTGGGAGGAGCAATTCCAGGCCGACCTATACCCCAATTTTGGCCTTATTTCCCCAACAGACCTGTCCCCTCTCAGTTGTCAGGCTAAATATTTTGGCTTGGCGGAGAGTCAGAGAGAACGGGGAGGTCCCGCAAACCAATCCGCTCTGTCGGGAGGCGGGGAGGAGCGAGCTGGGCGCGGCCCTCCTGTGCAGCCTGCCGGGAGACAACCCAGCGCCCAGCTCTGCTGCACCTCGGCCGCCTGCCTTGTCTTCGCCCTGAGCCCTGTGTGACATTCCCCTCCGGGGCCTCTGAGGCTCTCCCTGCACTGTCCTCATCGCTGTCCCGTCTCTGTGCCTCCGGGTTCACTCAGAGTCTGTCTCCGGCCGCCTGGCCTGTCTCTGGCTTTGTGTCTGTGTTCTTCCTTCCCTTTTGCGTCTCCTGCCACAGCTTCAGTGCTCCCAATTGCTCTGCTCCTGGCTGCCCTCATCTCTGCAGTGTGGGTCTCGGCCTCCCTGACCATTTCCCGGGCGCTCCTCTTTTCTGGAGCCGCCTGCAGCACAGCCAGGACCCTACACAGGCCAGGCTGGGCCATGGTCTGGCCCAGTCTGTGGCCCTGGGGACCAGGCCTGCTAGTGATCCTCCTCTCTTCCGGACGGGGCCTGGACACGATGAAGGGTGAGTCCCCTGCCCCGCCTCCCCAACACCCCAGCTCCTCATCTGCCTGCCAGACAGCTCAGAGGCCACAGTGTGCCTGCAGCCAGAACACACTTGCTTTCCGTAAGCCATGAAGAGTGCGGTCAGCTCTCAGAAGGACTTCCTGCCCTCCGGGAGAAGCAGTTAGTTGCCCACATAAAGGTGAGAGGTGAGGACTTGGAATCAGGAGGATGGGCAGATGTCCTCCACCCCATTCCTTCTGGTGAAATCACCATCCCAGCCGGAGGAGTGGCAGAGGGTATTTCCAGGGCCACTGAGTGAGAAGGGGCAAGGCTGGGGCAGCTGAGAACCAGCACCATTAAGACAGGAAACAGGGGCTGGGGATTTAGCTGAGTGATCCCACCAACTGCCTCTCAAGTGCAAGGACCCAAGTTCAATTCCTGGTACCAAAACATAAAATAAAATAAAATAAAAAATAAAAAAGACAGGAAACAGGCTTGGAGAAATAAGCACCAAGCCAAGACAGAGCCCTGGACTCCGGCCTCTGTGGGGGCAAGGTGCTGATCTGGGGGAGGGCTGCCTTCTCTCCGTAGACCAAAGGTGCTGGGGCCTTAGTGGGGAAAGGGAAAGAAAAGCAGAGGGGAAATTCGCAGAGAAGACAGTTGAGTGGGGTCTGCCACCTTCCCCAGTTCACCATCGCCCCAGACAGGGGGCTCAGGAATCCAGCACACTGCGCCCGCCCAGGAGTCTTAGTCTGGAGCTTTCCACACCCAGGGCGGAGTCCCTCTTTCCTACACAGGCAGGGCAGTGGTGCAGTGGTGGGATGGGGTGCCCTGCAGGGTGCTAGTCTCAAGGGCTCTGCTTGCAAAGCTCCCCCCCCACACACCCTAAGCCCCTGCCCCCCATGCTGTGCCATGACAGGGCCCAGCAGATGCCAGCCAGGAGCGCAGTTGTCAGGACACAAGTGTGTCCGTGGGGGAGGGGCCAGTGTTTAGTCAGCGACCCAGATGTTTTATTCCCAGTGCAGCTCTGTGGACTCACAGACCTGAGGGAAGCCAGGGGTTAATTTGCAAAGGTCTTAGGTTTGTTTTTCCAAATGACTCCCATCAGGGGAGCCCTGGAGAGGCGAGGGCATGATGGGAAGTGGGCGCCTGAGAGAACCCCCATCTGCCAGGCAGAGCCTGATTGGCCTTCCCCTGGAGGAGATGGAAGTGTTTTCTCATTCTGTCCCTCTCTTTTGTGTGCGTGTGTACCTGCATGGGTGCACACACACACACAAATGCGCACACGCACACACACACACACACACACACACACACACACACACACACACGGGCAGCTGCCAGGCAATTGAGCTCAGGACCATGGATGACAACTAGGAGCGCTGTGCCTGCCCTGCCAGACCCAGAATGGGCCTGGGCTGTGTGTTGGTGGGGGGCCAGGAGGGGAGGGAGTGCAAGGAGGCTGGAGGGGTGAGCTGGCGCTGAAATCAGACTGAAGGATGCTGGCTTTCATCTTCTGCGATGTGAAACTACACAAGGCCCTCTAGGAGCAAGTGAGGCCAGGCACCCAGGCCCCAGAGGGGGACAGTCCTCCGTGGCTTGGGGAGCAAAAGGGAAGTGGGTGGGGCTCTGTGTCTGAGGAAGCCAGGCACCCATGGGTCCCCAAGGGAAAAGTGGATTTGGGATCCAGATGTCCACAGTCCATGGCCCATGAGTGCCCATGGCTCCAGCCCTGGACTGGGCACCATGGAAGGTGCAGAGCTGGCTCAGGTAGGCCCTGCCCTCCTGGACATAGGTGAGTGGTAGGGCAAGGCCCCACATGTGCTTGTGACTAGCACTGCTGGACTAAGTACATGGAGTCAGAAAGGGGAGTGAGTTCCAGAGGCAGAGGGTCAGGGCAGGAGCACTTGGCCGGAGGGCCGCAGGCCAAGGGCTGAGACACCCTGGAGAAAAAGCGGAGACCGGCTAATCTACCCTTCAGTGTCAGGCCAAGGAGCCGGCAATGGGCAGCCACGGAATGTCCCTTCAGAGTAAATAAACACAGGGCTCAGCCAACCGGCTCCCCTGGGCAGGAAGAGAAGTGGGGAGTATGGAGCTCCATGCTCACTGCCTCCAGTCGCAGAATTCATTCATTCATCCACCCAATATTCACTGAACGCCAGTCGTGCACCAGGCACTATACCGTGCACCGGGACAGAGCGATGAATTATACAAAGATCGCAGCCTTTGTGGAGCTCACAATAAACGAGCAGTGAGTGAAGTACATGTGAGCCAGTGCTAAGGGTCACAGAGGACATGAGGCGGATGTGGGCGGGTAGTGCCTCCCTTAGAAAAAGATGTGAGGAGGTAGAGGAGCCCTGCCACGCCAGGGAAGGGGGTTCTAGATACAGGGAGCAGAAGGAGAGAAACCCTGAGGCAGAAGTTTGGCTGGCTTATTTGAAGGGCAGCAAAGATGTCCAAATAGCCAAAGAGAGAAAAGAGCAGAAATCAGAGAGGTTATGGGGCCCAAACTGTACTGGCCTCCTTGGCAGAAGTAAGGGCCGCCTTACCCAGAATGAGATGGGAGCCATGGAGGATTCAAGCAGAGGAGCAGGGTGATCTGAGTGGATTTCGAGAAGGTCACTGTGGTTTCCGAGTGGAGAACTTTCCACAGAGGGGCAAGGTGATGTGGGAGACGGCCTCCAGGTATTCCTTAACAGAGCCCATGGGACATGGAGGGAGAGACACGGACTCCCTTTCACTGCGGTGACACACCTGGCAGAGAGCCCGCAATGTGCAGGTGCACCCCTCACCCAGAGCAAAGCCCGGTCCCCGTCCAGGTCCTGCTGCTGCACGGCTCTCCTCCCTGGTACTGCCGGGGCAGGATGGGTCTCACCCCGTGCACCTCATGTACCCACAGTGTGCCCCAGCCTGGACATCCGCTCCGAGGTGGCACAGCTGCGGCGGCTGGAGAACTGCAGCGTGGTGGAGGGCCATCTCCAGATCCTGCTCATGTTCACGGCCACAGGGGAGGACTTCCGCGGCCTCAGCTTCCCACACCTCACCCAGGTCACAGACTACCTGTTGCTCTTCCGGGTCTACGGCCTGGAGAGCCTGCGTGAGCTCTTCCCCAACCTAGCGGTGATCCGTGGTGCCCAGCCCTTCCTGGGCTACGCGCTGGTCATCTTTGAGATGCCCCATTTGCGGGATTTGGGGCTGCCCGCGCTCGGGGCTGTGCTGCGTGGTGCTGTGCGTGTGGAGAAGAACCAGGAGCTCTGCCACCTCTCCACCATTGACTGGGGGCTGCTGCAGCCCGTTCCCGGTGCCAACTACATTGTGGGCAACAAGCTGGGCGAGGAGTGTGCTGATGTGTGCCCGGGCACGCTGGGCCTCGCTGGCGAGCCCTGCGCCAGGACTACCTTCAGCGGACACACCGACTACCGGTGCTGGACCTCCAGCCACTGCCAGAGAGGTGGGCTCTGCCACACAAACAATGGGGCACAGGGACGCAGAGCCCGGAGGGGCTGGGCACCACGGGATGGTGTAGGTCAGTCTTCGCATCCTGTGAGGCAGGTACTGCCGTAGAAAAGGAAACTAAGGCTCACAAAATGTCCTCACTGATGGTCTAGGGCAAGTGAGGAGCAGGTACAAGGAGTGCCAGGTAACCAGGGGGTAGCTGGGTATAAGGTGGGCACGATGGACAGGAAACAGCTCAAGAAGCAGTATGGCGTGGTGGGAAAATCCCAAGCCAGATGGCCGGGGTTCAAGTCTCAGGTCCACGGCTTATGGGCTGTGTCTGTTTGGCTCATCTGAGCTTCAATTCCTGCTCTGCAAAACAATCTTAAGCTTGTTATGTGGGATGAGTTATTTTCCAGAGCACTACAGCGGCACGGAGGCCGTGGTGGTGACTCTGTTCCCCACAAGAGCTGCCTGGCAAGGTGGCAAAGTGAGCTGGCCACACTGCCGTGAGGAGAAGGAAGGAAGGAGGAGTTGACAGTCAGGGAGCTGGACAGGGGAGGGCAGACAGTGAGCTGGGCTCTTTCGCGGAAGCCGAGGAAGGGGAAAGAGAGGCCGAGAAGCCTAGAGCAGCAGCGGTGAGAGTTCCAGGGAGGGGGGAAGACCTTTCAGAAGCTGAAAGCACATGGCCCCCAGCCTGGGACTCCCATAGGCACTTAGAGGTGGGCTCCCCACACCTCTGCTGCCTCCCCACCACAGCTGGAGGGAGGGTAATGGGATCAGGGCTGTATCCAGAGCCCACGCCTATGGCCTCCTTGTTGGCTGTAAACACAGCTGCTGCAGTCCTCCCTGTGTACAGTCAACCAGCCCTGCTGCCCCCTCCAGGCCCGGCCTGCAGCTCCCACACTTCCAGCAGCCGCTATGTTTCCAGTCTATTGCATCCCCAACCCCAGGCGCATCAGCTGGGAGCAGAGGGGAGGCAGTATGGCAGGGGTGTGGCAGGATGGATGGCGCTGGGCCTTTACCCCTCGGGAGGGGCCAGCTGGGTCACCCGGTCTCATGCCAGCAGTGGTGTGGGCATCAGGAGCTGGTGAACAGAGACCCTGAGTGACAAGGTCCCCTCTCTACCCTGGGTCCTGGCCCCTCAGGCATTCAGTTAGCCAGCCACCTGTGCCACCCGAATAAAAATCTGAGGGGCCTGGGCACAGCCTGAGAGCAACACCCCGGGCGGGGCGGTGGGGACAGCCCTGTGACGAGATCTAACCGGCACTGTGCCCACAGTGTGTCCCTGCCGTCAGGGGCTGGCCTGCACACCGGGAGGCGAGTGCTGCCACACAGAGTGTCTAGGGGGCTGCAGCCGGCCCGGAGACCCTCGCGCCTGCGTAGCCTGCCGCCACCTCTACTTCCAGGGCGCCTGCCACAGGGCCTGCCCTCCGGGCACCTACGAGCACGAGTCTTGGCGCTGCGTCACAGCCGAGCGCTGCGCCAGCCTGCGCTCCATGCCCGGCCGTGTCTCCACCTTCGGCATCCACCAGGGCAGGTGCCTGGCCCAGTGTCCTCCAGGCTTCACCCGAAACGGCAGCAGGTGAGTGGGGTGGGTGGAGGTCACCTGGGCAGTGAGGGGCCACACGGGTCCGCAGCTCACGGCGTCTGCTTGCCCTGCCAGCATATTCTGCCACAAGTGCGAGGGGCTGTGCCCCAAAGAGTGCAAGGTAGGCACCAAGACCATAGACTCCGTCCAGGCGGCGCAGGACCTGGTGGGCTGCACCCACGTGGAGGGAAGCCTCATCCTCAACCTTCGCCGCGGCTGTCAGTAACCCTCCCGCCCCGTCCCACCTCCAGGCCACGCCCCTGTCACGCCCCTCCAGGCCACGCCCCCGCGACACCTCTTCCCTACAACCTTCCCCACCCGCTGCCGGGTAAACCGCACCCTCCCTGCTTCCGCTCCAGCCTTGTGTTCCTCATCCTCAGACAACCTGGAGCCAGAGCTGCAGCGCAGCCTGGGACTGGTGGAGACCATCACTGGCTTCCTCAAAATCAAGCACTCCTTTGCCCTCGTGTCCCTGAGTTTTTTCAAGAACCTCAAATTAATCCGAGGGGACACCATGGTGGATGGGTAAGGGATCAGAACCAGGCCTCTGATCAGAGCCCCTTCCCCTAACACCCCCAGAACAGCAGTAAAGGGAAGGGACTCTGAAATCAGGATGGCTACTTACTGTCTGACTCTCTGTGTTCACTTCTCTGGTCCTCAGCTTTTCATCTGGAAAATGGGCTTCTTGGGGCACCTGTGAATATTACATAATTTATTAAGTTTAAAGCAATGAATGCTTGAAACAGTATATATAATGAAACAACGTGTTTTTTTGTTTGTTTGTTGGCTTTGGTACTGGGGCTCGAACTTGGGTCCTTGTGCTTGTGAGGTAGGCGGTGGAACCACTGAGCTAAATCCCCGGCCCGTTTTCTTTTTTTGAATAACAGTCTTGCTATGTAGTTCAGACTGGCTTTGTACTCACTATGTAGCCCAGGTTGGCCTCGAACTCAGAGCAATCCCCCTGCCTCAGCCTCCCAAGTGCTGGATTACATATGTAACTAAAGAAATGGCCATGATTGTTATTATCTGGTCTTCTCCACAGCACAACTGCCTGGGTTTGAAACCTGTTCCTACTGCCTACAAGACCAGACCTACCCAATGTAGCCAATACTTTTCAAACATTTTTTTTTTTTAATTTTAAATTACCAGTTGGAGGGGCCGGGGATTTAGCTCAGTGGTGCTGCCAACTGCCTCACAAGCTCAAGGTCCAGAGTTCGATCCCCGGTATCAAAAACAAAACAAAAGAAATTACCGGTTGGGTGAAGGGGTCCCCCATGGCTTCTCCTGTCTCCCTCGGGCACCCTGTCATGCGCCCCAGGGGCCCCACCCAGCCTGGCAGGGTGAATGTCAGCCGCCCCTGTGTCCCAAAGCCAGCGGAGTCTGGCACACACTGGGAGAAATGAGACGAAGAGGGAGGAAGAAGGAGGCGAGGACCCTGATCACCCCTCCCCGACAGGACCGGCTGGGCCCCGCGCTCGCTCACTTGCTCAGTCAGGCCACGGGTGGGTGCGAGTGCTGCGGGGCGGTCCCCGGTGCCCGAAGCCACCCCTTCGAGCGCACGCCCGACCTCCCCAGGAACTACACTCTGTACGTGCTAGACAACCAGAACCTGCAGCAGCTGGGGCCCTGGGTGGCCGCGGGGCTCACCATCGCCGCGGGCAGGGTCTACTTCGCTTTCAACCCGCGCCTGTGCCTGGAGCACATCTACCGGCTGGAGGAGGTGACGGGCACGCGGGGGCGGCAGAACAAGGCGGAGATCAACCCCCGCACCAACGGCGACCGAGCT